TACTTCCTCGTCACCCGCCTCCCTGACACTCTTCGTTCAGTCAGGGACCACTTTCTTGCCAAAGACCCTACCACTCTCACTCTAGCCGACTTCGAGCAGCGGCAAAAAAGAACATTCTCGCTGTAGGTACTGCTCGTGGCACTCCTCGCACTCCCCTCTTTGAGGGGTGCTCCCCCTCCCCTCTTGCCCCCTCCTACGCCTCTGCTGCTGCTGCCGTCGACTTTTCTTGGTGCTGAGGAGGTCGCAGCTGCTTCCGCTCCTAGTGGGAAGCGCCGCAGCGCCAGGGGCGGCAGGGGCGGCACGGGTGGTGAAGGTGGCGGTGGAGGGGGCGGTGGTGGAGGCGGCGGGGGAGGTGGAGGTGGTGGGGATGGTCGTGGGGGTGGAGGTAGTGGTTCGGGCGGCGGTGGTACTGGGAGCGGTCGAGGTGGCAGCGGCGGTAGTGGGGGAGGAGGGAGCGGTGGTAGAGGCGGTGGTGGAGGCTGTAGTGGGACCGGCCACAAGGGGAACTCTAGTGGTGGCCAGGGACAGCAACAGCAGCCGCAGCAGCAGCAGCAGCAGCAGCGTCAGCGTGAGACTCCCACGCCTCAACAGCTTCGTGACTGGTACGCTCGGCGTGGGGCGTATGGGGGTCCTGTTCACTGTCCCTATATCATTCGCGCAGGTCCCCGCGCTGGTCGCCCATGCAACGGCTTTCACACTGAGTACCGCTGTTTTTCTCGGCTTAGCGACGCCTGGCGCACCAAGTTTCCTGAGGCTACTGAGTTTCCCCCTTGGGCAGACCTTCTTAGGCGTGATGTACCTATCTTTGATCTTGACTATGATGCAATTCTTGCTGCCATGTATGCATTGACTGTTAGTGCTGAGGGTGACTGCTACTTGTGTGTGCCGCCTGACCCAGGTATAGCGACTGCAGCCCTAGGTGCTAGTGAGTCTGCTCTCCCTGGTACTGCGTCGGCTCAGGCCTTGCACACCTTTACCCTTGATTCAGGTGCTTCCAGCTGCTTCTTTCGCGACAGTACCACAGTCACTCCCCTCCCTGCACCTGTCCCTGTCTCACTGGCTGACCCCTCTGGGGGCCCAGTGCTTGCTCGCTCCTCCACTATGCTCCCCTGTCCGACGGTCCCGTCCGGTGAGCTGTCAGGTCTCCACATCCCCTCGTTCTCTACAAACCTGGTGAGCAACGCCGTCCTTCAGGATCATTGGGTTGACACCTTTACTCCTGGAGGACAGCGTGTGGCGATCTGTACGTGCTCTCGGACTGGCCGCCACCTGGCCACGTTCACACGTGCGCCTGGGCCCAGCCTGTACACCCTCACCACTGTGTCGCGCTACACCCCTCTCTCTCCTCAGCTGTACGCGTCTGCTCAGGTAGCTACCCAGTGTGAGTGTCGCCGTCTGTCGCACCAGACTCTCCTCTGGCACCACCGCCAGCGACAGGGAGTTGACTTCTTCCAGACCTTCTCCCCCACCCCGAAGATGACTACTCTTCGGGTACTGCTGCACGTTGCCGCTCAGCGTGACTACGAGCTTCACTCTCTTGACTTCAGCATAGCCTTCTTACGGGGCAGCTTGCACCAGGAGATCTGGCTGCGCCACCCACCTGGCTTCACTGGGTCGTTCCCTCCTGGTACCCAGTGGAGCCTCCGGCGGCCAGTCTACGGTCTCCGCCAGGCGCCACGTGAGTGGCACGACACACTGAGGACCACACTTGCGGCTCTTGGGTTTGCACCTTCGACTGCTGACCCGTCGCTGTTTCTACGCACCGACACTTCGTTGCTGCCGTTCTACATCCTCGTGTACGTCGACGACTTGGTCTTTGCCACTGCTGACACTGAGGCTCTCGCCCTGGTGAAGTCGGAGCTACAGAAGAGACACATGTGCACAGACCTGGGTGAGCTGCGCAGTTACCTTGGCTTGCAGATCACCCGGGACCGAGCACGTCGCACCATCACACTGACTCAGTCACACATGGTGCAGCAGGTTCTTCAGCGCTTCGGCTTCACCTGGTCCTCGCCACAGTCCACTCCTCTGGCTACAGGTCACTCGCTCTCAGCTCCACCTTCGGACGAGTCCGTAGAGCCGAGTGGTCCGTACCCAGAGCTTGTGGGCTGCCTCATGTACCTGATGACCTGCACCCGTCCTGACCTTGCGTACCCTCTTGGCCTTCTGGCACGCTACGTGGCTCCTGGTCGGCACCGAAAGGTGCACATGGATGCTGCGAAGAGGGTACTGCGCTACTTGTGCAGTACATCGGGCATGGGGCTCGTGCTTGGAGGGCGGAGTCCAGTTGTCCTCACTGGGCACTCAGACGCTTCTTGGGTTGACGACCTGGCTACGCAGCGGTCGTCACAGGGTTACACTTTCAGCCTTGGCTCCGGTTCTGTTTCTTGGCGGTCTACTCGCTCGTCTTCTGTTCTCAGCTCCAGTTGTGAGGCTGAGATCTACGCCACAGCCATGGCTGCTCAGGAGTTACGCTGGCTCACCTACCTGCTGACCGATTTGGGAGAGAGGCCTTGTTCTCCTCCAGTTCTGTACGTCGACAACAAGGCTGCCATTGCCTTGTGTCAGGAGCACAGGCTGGAGCACAGAACGAAGCACATCGCTTTGCGTTACTTCCTGGCTCGAGAGTTACAGCAGCGTGGTCAGCTTCGTCTTGCTCACGTGGCCACTCGGGCCAACACTGCTGATATATTGACCAAGGCACTTCCGTCTGGTGATCATCAGCGCATGTGTACCAGGGCTAATTTTTGGTTTTGGCCAACCCTTACGATCAGTGTTGCTCAACAGCAAAAACCTGATTATCAGAGTATCCTTCTTTGAAAATCCTGATCTGTCAGGGTTTTTGCAGGTCTATAAATTTTTACCCTGGGTCATCAGTGTAACACTTTTTAAAGCCCTTGTTTAGTTAGTTTTAACACTGCACAGAATGACAATATCAATCATCATCATCAGACATGCCACACTGGTGTTCTTCGTGCTCACTTTCCTCTTCTGGCTCCGGGACTTTCTCTTTGCCCTTTCTCTCCGCTGGGGTTGGCATCGCCACTGATTTTGCCGGCCGTCTGGTATTTGCTTGCGCCAGATGTCCACCACATCCGGCCACACGTACGGGTACTTGAGCATGTGAAGGGTCATGAGGTCGCCAAGGCGTGCATCGCCTAGCGATGTGCGCATCCAGCTCTTGATGATGTTTTGCCGGCTGAAACCTCTCTCACACTCTACTGTGCTAAGTGGGAGCACAGCGAGTGCCTTCCACAGTGTGATGAGGTTCGGATAACTGCGTCGCCAGTCTCTGCTCTTCATCATGCTCTGGAGTCCTTGGTGGAAATCTTCGCGATCGTGATGACGTGCCAAAATGTGACAGAAGCTCTTGAGTTCCTTCTTTGCCGCCTTGAGGTCAAAACCTGACGTGGATAGGGAGAAACAGGGTGGATGTACGGGTGGAGGTTTTTGTTTGGGTGTTGGCATACGACGTCATGCAACGAGGTAACCGAGCGGATGGCAAGTGTCCTAATCAAACTCATCAGGGAGCATACCGCCAAAAAGCTCGTCGTTCTGAACCAACGAGTCCATGCACTTGATACTCCGCTGGTCATCCCTGGAAGGCCACGCTTCCACTTGGAATAGCTTCGCGCCACCCATTTGCTGCAAGTCCCACATGCGAAACTTCATGCGGGCCACGATTTCCTTCGCGAATCCCGAGCACAATTTCTCACAGTCCCCGAGCGTGCCACCGAACTTGTGCTTCTTGATTGGTTTCTCGCTCAGCTCGAATCGATGTGTTGTCGGCCGGCCCTCGCTGTCAATCCCCTCAACCACAAGCGTCTGATCTTTCCCGCCGTGGTCCTTGATGAATTTCGACAGCAGCTTGCTGACCCTGCCTCCAAAAGTCTCCCCGTAGTTGATGTACCGGTCCGTGATGATGGTAATCGTGCGGTCCACTTCCTTTGCCACTTGGGTGATGTCGACCTGGGAAACATAGAAACGACAAAATTGTTAGTTCTGCAAGTATAAACTCATAAACGAGTGTATTCAAGTTGGTACTTGGCTTGCCTTGTGGTGCTGGAAAAACCGGTTGAGGCTGTTGAGCTCTGCAAGGATGTCAGCGAGGAAGTACAGGCAAAAATGAAACTTAAATGTCTGCACTGTAGCAGCCATCTTGTGGCCATACTCCACAATCATGACTATTGCAGCCCCGAAGACTCTGCACAGCCGTGCGATTGCGTCTCCCCGCGACAGCCACCGAACATTAAACAGTCCTTGGTGCTCCAGGTTGGTACGATGAATCTCCTGCTGCAGCTCTTTGAACCTCTCGTACCAGTTGTTCGAGCGACATATTATTTCCCCGACAGCTCGCACACCCGCGTCGATCATGTTCAGGTCGGGGAACGCCTTAGCAGCGTCTTTCACGACGAGCGCCTCACTGCAACACATCGGAAACGCATGAGGTACAACCGACAAACGGGATAAGCAGGACCTAAACATGTGGGACATTGAAAAGGTATCCTGGACATTACCGATGAGCAACGCAATGACAGCCGACAAGATGCGGAACGCGTTCACGCAGGCGGACAACAAGCCCGCCTTTTTCTCCCGTCATGACCGACGCCCCGTCGGTGCCGACGCCGGACACGCGCTTGACGTCGACGACGAGAGAATCCAAGTGGCTCATCAGCACGGTGTATAGCGATGACGCGTCGCACTTCTGCAACGAGAGCAGCGCCAGGAATTCTGTCACGGCGACGCCATTCTTGAGGAACGTGGTAAACACTATCAAGTGTTTGCCACGCGCGCGGCCGGTGCTCTCGTCAAATGTGAGGCCGATGAACGGGGAAGCGAGTAGATGCTGCAGCTGCTGAGCTCGTTGGTACTCTGCCATGGACGCCGCCATCTCATTTGAAGCCGTACCTGCCAAGCGCACCCGGTCGATGTCAAACGGATGTGTTTGCAATAGGTAAAATGATTATACCAGCACAAAACCACAATGTATCCGACATTACTTACTGTGAAATGTACACCCCGTAGGATTTCAACGGGATGTCAGCAACTCCCTCTTCGGCCATAAACCCAACGAGCTTAGCGAACATGGCGATTGGAGCGTCATTGTCGCAGATGAATTCGACGGCACGGATGAGACGAGTGAGCCGCGCACCTTCCTTGTCAGCGTTGGCGAAGTCGTCGACCCGTCTCTGCTTCTCAATCTCGGCCATTAGAGTCCGCTGCTTCTTCAACGCTTCGTCGTGCTTAACGCTGAGCTCGTGAGACCGCATAGAGCCGGGCTGCATATCTCTTCCCCCAGGTCCGTTGCGACCAAACTTAGCGTCGTCCTTCCCATGCTCCACACATATGCTGCATCGCAAGACGGGCAACCCTTCATCGTTCTTATCAAGCAGCAGCCAATCAAACTTTGGAAGCCACTGCGAGATGTACAGTTCCAGCGCCTTGTCAAACTTCGCCTCAGCCTTCTCGGCTTGGGTGAGCTCAAGAGAAACACGGGGGGGAGCTTTGGCGGGCGCCTGAGGTGGAGTTGGCTTCGGAGGAGGCGTGCCGAACGGGAGATGGGTTTGCGCAAATCGGCGTTTCTTCTTCCCGGGTGCAGACGAAGACTCGCCGACCTCGGATTTGCTAACGGTGGCGAGAGCACTCTCTGGCTCAACGCCTGGTGAACCAGGTGGACGGGTAGGAGGGAGCTTTTCGCCGCTGATCGATGACGGTCCTGCAGTGAAGACGGGCGGCGGGTTCTGATGCAGCAGTCGGAGGAAGTCCAAGCCCGTGCGCGCTGGAGCGTCATTAGGTGGCTCGTCAGCAGCTTCACCACCATCATCGACGGTAGGAGCCATGGCTGCAGGCGGGTGTGCTAAGTGGGGAAACTGCAAGCTCTGGTGGAATGCACATTCGAGAATGATGCCTCAGAGGACTAAAACCAAAACAACACCACAACAGCGCTGGTGCCCCCAATCCCCAGCGCAGTCATTTCCTATCGTGCAGACAAACGAAGCAGATGAGCCATCCACAGGTTTGCAAACAACGCGGTGCCCAGTGGGCAAGTGGGCCTCTATGTCCTGCTGCAGTAATGCAGCTTTCCAGCCCAACAGGTAAGGCTGGCATGTCAGACAACATGACCAACTCGGTACATTGTTGCTGCCTCGAATGAAAATGCATTACTGGCCAATAGTGGCCCACTTCGTGCCAGCAAAGGTAATGTCGTGTCGAATTGTACAGCTACGACAGTTCGCAAAGGGGTTTCCCAGATTACGGGGAAGGGGGGTTACGGGAAGGTTGTGGGGGGGGGGGGGGGGGGTTGGCTGGAACTCGCTTCAGGGTAAAACTCGATAATAGAATCGGCAACCCTGAGGCGACAGTGTAGCTTAATCGAAAACCCTGGCACATAAGGGTAAATGAAGGTCCCAAAAAAATTACCCTACCGCATCAGTGTTACTACCTAAAAACCACCCTGTTCATCAGGGCATCAGGGTGATTTATCCTGATAAATTAGGCCCTAATGTGTACTCTGTTAGGCCTGGTGCCAGTTTCGTCTCACTTACTCACTTCCTGACTTTGCTTGTACTGTGATTTATATATACCTGCATGTTTTCTCTTGCTAGGTAGTGATCACTGTACTGTTGTTGTTGTTCATATACTCCTTCGTGTGAACTGGCCTTCTGGCCCCTTGCTTGTGCTCAGAGAGTGTGGTGACGTTGTGATCCACCCTGAGCTTGCTTTGCTTTTCTTGACTGGTCTTGTGACCCCTTGCTCTCCCCCACTTTGCCTATGGGGGTGTGTCAAATTATATATGTGTTATACATGTGTAGGCTGTAGTGGGGTAGCCAATGTGAGGTATAACCCCCATTAAGGTTTCATATTTGTACCAAACTCTGATCCAGTTCATTCATTCCTGCTAGGTCATTTTGACACAATGTTCACGTCAGTTCCCCAAAAAGTGAAACCAATTGTATAGGGTTGCTACGCAACCCAAAAATCCCTAATATTCCACGCCCTTAATTTCCCAGTTAGTGCAATACCGGTACCAGTTCTCTCGTTTCTACACCTCGACCCCTGTTCTTCGTCTCCACTTCGTTACGGAAACACTTCTTGCCGTGTTGGAGATCTTGGTGTGTTGGAGATTTCACCCAAGTGACCGCCCTATGGCGATTCCAAACCAAGGATAAGGGCGTGTGAGGTCGGATTTGAAATTCAAAAAAAAAGTGAACTTTGTGTGGTTACCAGTTTCGCCAATGTCGCATAAAGCTACGAGCGAAACTTCGTCAACTTTGGGTTTGGCAACATGCGAACTGCAAACTTGAACAAGACTCGAGTTTTAGTTGTGAACGTGCTTCGGCATGTTCACATTCACGTGTGTGATTTCCCGCACGTTCGAGCATCTGGCGAAATGTGCGAGCGACTCACGAGTAGCAACAGTTTCACAACGAACTCACCACAGCCTTCGTGTACTGAATAGAGGCCACGTGGCGATAATCGGGTAACCTACTTTTTAGAACCGGGTAACCTACTTTGTAGAAATGCGGTTCGGTGCGTTTTTACAAGTTCGAATACGCGCACTCGACCTTGTATATGTGTGTGCTTTTCTGCAGTGTTGTGGTCCAGATGTGCGAACCCCGATACAATGAAAGTCGAGTTTGGTTCGACATATGTTCATGTAGCACAACCCCACCGATCACACGCGCCCTAAACAGGCAGACGCAAACATAACAGCTCTTGAAATGCGCTGAGCCTTTCAATAGATACACCGCAGGTTATTCGGGCTTTCAAAACATGAGGAATTCGTTATTCCGCTTCGCGCCGCCATGCCAGCGGCATCGGCGACCCGTCCTGGCGAGGCGTGGCGGCGGGCGGGGCGGGCGGAGGAGCTGGTGGCGGGGCTGTCAGCGGGCGACGCGAAGGTGCGGCTGCGCGCGGTGCGCGATGTGAAGAACGCCGCCATCGGCAGCCGCACGCGCAAGCTCGCTTTCATCCGCCTGCGAGCCGTGCCCAGGTGCGCCTCTCTTCCCCACGCGCCTCCCCCCTCCGCGCGCCTCCCTCCTCCTCGCGCAACTTACCTCCGTGCACTCCCCTCCGCGCGCCGCGCCGCCCTCTTTCCCGCGCCTCCCTCTTTCCCGCGCCTCCTTCCCCGCTCCCTCACTCCCCCGAAACCACTGCTCCGCGCTGCACGCGGCCCTTTCCCCGTACCACCGCCCCACCCCGCGCCCTACTGTTTCCGCGCCCTGCTGCTTCCGCATCTCCGTTCCCTCTCCATTCGATTCAGGCAGCAGAAGTGACGGGGCACTGGTTAGGCAGGAGTGGTGTGAGTCACTGCGGTGGGGAGTGGTTTGAGTCACTGCGGTGGGGAGTGGTGTGAGTCACTGCGGTGGGGAGTGGTGTGAGTCTCTGCGGTGGGAAGTGGTTTGGGTTTCTTGGCAGTGGTGTGGGTCTCTGAAAAGTGGGTCCCTTCCTTGTGGGCCACCATGCCTTCCGTCCGTTTCTCCTCGACCCCCTTTCCTATGGTGGCCTTGCCTTTCCTGACTGCTCGCCTGCTTGCTTGCCTGCCCGCCTGTTGTCCCGCCTACCTTCCTGCCTGCTTGCCTGCCTGCCGTGCTACCTGCCAAGCCTGTGTGTGCCGGGCGTGTGTCCTCCAGGCTGGTGGCCATGCTAGAGGGAGCAGAGGGAGTGGAACGCCCGGAGGGGGTGGAGGGGGCGGAGGGGGCGTGGGGCGCGGAGGAGGTGCAGCAGGCGGCGGCGGCGGTGGGCAGTTTGGCGTGCGGGCTGCCGGAGGGCGTGCATGCTGTGCTGGCAGCCGGGGCCGTGCTGCCGCTGCTGCGCTGCCTGCTGCACCCCCATGCCAAGGTGACGCCCACATGCTGCCATGCCATGTCGACATGCCATGGATTGACATGGCATGGGCACCACACCACATGCACGCACCTGTCTGCCCCACTTTGCACCTCTCTGAACCTCTCTGAACCTCTCTGCACCTCTCTGCACCCCTCTGCCTCTTGCCGCTCCTATCTGCAACACACAGGTGGTGGAGGCAGCTGCAAGATCACTGCGCTTGATCTTCCAGTCCACGCCTGTGCTGCCACGTGGCAGCACTGCTGCAGGGGATTGGCTCTCGCCCGCCCTCACCCTGCTGCCGTCCCTGCTCGCCTCCCCCAACGAGACAGTGTCAGAGGTGATTGTGCATGTCTCTACTGCGGTAACCACACTGAGACTGTGGTAACCGGACTGTGGTAACCAGACTGTGGAAAGGAATAATGGTTGATGCACACACCTCTCGTCAAGCTCGCACACCACTGCAGGAAACATTCTCTCCCTCCCAACCCCCTCTCAAACCCCCCAACCCCCTCCCAACCCCCCCCAACCCCCTTCCCCACCGCAGGTGGCAGCGAGTGTGGCAGCGCACTGTGTGCACTCGCACCAGCAACAGGCAGCGCTGACAGAGGCAGGTGGGCTGCTGTCGCTCACGCGCCTGCTCGCCTCGTCACCTCGCTGCACTGACGCTGCTCTGCTCGCCCTCGCAGCGGCTGTCAAGGGCAACCGGCAGCAGGCTGCTGCTCTCGTGGGTGCGTGCGTGTGTGTATTCAATGCGCTGTGCTGTGCTGCTGCTTGCTGCGTGTGGGCATGGCGCCACTGCCCTGCCGCTGCCTGTCTGTGTTCGCCGTCGCTTCAAACCACCGTCTTCTCACTCACTCACTCAATGCGCAGATGGCTCACTCGCACACACCGTTCCCAATCACCGCTTCTTCCTCATCTCATCTCCCATCCCCTCCGCCCCTTTTCCCCCTTCCCCACCCTTTCCTTCCCCCCTCCCTCCCGCAATTTGGATCGGCAATATCCACCCTTCTCCCCGCACATGCTGCAGACATGGGCGGGGGAGCAGCGCTGGCAGCTGTGGTGAGCCTCACGCGCCACCCATCCCCCGCCACGCGGCTCAACGCTTGTCGCTGTCTGCTGCACCTAGAGGCAGCCCTCTGGCCGCATGGCGGTGCCATCACTGCCGTGCCCCGCTCCTTCCTCCAGCACCCCGCTCCCACCCTCGCTGCCCTGCCTGCCCCTGCCACCACGGCTGCTCCACCTGCCACCACCGCTGCTGCCCCTGTCCGTGCAGCGAGTGCGAGCGTGAGGGTTGAGCGGTTTGCACGCAGCAGCAGCAGAGGTAGCGGCAGCAGCAGAGCAAGCATTGCCAGTGATGGGAATGGGAGGGCGGGTGGGCGGGGCGGTGGAGTGAAGCGGGATGCATGGGGCGGATTGAAGGAGGGCGGGGTGACCAAGGGCGATCGGGGCACGTGGCTGCGACAGCAAGGGCACGAGCAGGCGGCGTGTGGGCGGGAGAGTGAAGAGGGGCGGGCGCAGCATGTGGTGTGCGGGGCGATTCTGTCCCCTCGCACAGGGCCCCACACGCCTGCCACCGCGCTCACACCTGCTAGTGCTGCCAGTGGCGAGAGGCCGATGCGCGTGGGTGTGGGCGTGGGCATGGGAGTGGGCGTGGGAGCAGCAGCGGCAGTGGATGTGAACGTGGCGGCGGTGGTGCTGGTGGCGCTCATCAACCTGCTGCCTCTCTCCGACCAGGTCAGCCGCTCTTTGCTCTTCTGCACTTCCACTTGCACTCTGCTCACCCCTCCTCCTTCCCTTGTCGCGCCCAGGGTTAAAAAAAACGACCGTTTTTTTTGAAATTTACCGTAAAAAAACGGTCGTAAAAAACGGTTTAAAACGGTTCCAGGAGGTGTTTCCTGTTTAACTAACAAAACGGCCACTCAATGGGACCAAATTGAACCCGAAATGCAGCAGCATGAAGGGGACGGACCCCTTCTTGCATGTATGCGCTTGTTGGCATGATTAAAAATGTTTTTGACCTTGTTTTTCTCTTTTTCTTCTTGGTAAACAGAGTTCTCTAACAAAAAAACGGCCGTTTTTTTGGAAAATCACCGTAAAGAACGACCGTAAAAAACGGACCGTATTTTACGAAAACCGTAATTTTGAACCTTGGTCGCGCCTCTTTCCCTTGTCGCATGTCTGTCCCTTGTCGCGCCTCTTTCCCTAGTCGCGTGTCTGTCCCTTGTCGCGCCTCTTTCCCTAGTCGCGTGTCTGTCCCTTGTCGCGCCTCTTTCCCTAGTCGCGTGTCTGTCCCTTGTCGCGCCACTTTCCCTAGTCGCGTGTCTGTCCCTTGCCGTTCCTCTTTCCCTAGTCGCGTGTCTGTCCCTTGTCGCGCCTCTTTCCCTAGTCGTGTGTCTGTCCCTTGTCGCGCCTCTTTCCCTAGTCGCGTGTCTGTCCCTTGTCGCGCCTCTTTCCCTAGTCGCGTGTCTGTCCCTTGTCGCGCCTCTTTCCCTAGTCGCGTGTCTGTCCCTTGTCGCGCCTCTTTCCCTAGTCGCGTGTCAGTCCCTTGTCGCGCCTCTTTCCCTAGTCGTGTGTCTGTCCCTTGTCGCGCCTCTTTCGCTAGTCGCGTGTTTGTCCCTTATCTCGCCTCTTTCCCTAGTCGCGTGTTTGTCCCTTGTCGCGCCTCTTTCCCTAGTCGTGTGTCTGTCCCTTGTCGCGCCTCTTTCCCTAGTCGCGTGTCTGTCCCTTGTCGCGCCTCTTTCCCTAGTCGTGTGTCTGTCCCTTGTCGCGCCTCTTTCCCTAGTCGCGTGTCTGTCCCTTGTCGCGCCTCTTTCCCTAGTCGCGTGCAGGGTGCAAAATTTCGGCGAATTTTTCATTTTTGGGGCGAAAAATTCGCTGTCGAAACTTTCGCCCGAAATTTTCGTTAAATTTCGGTCAGAAAAAATATTATCTATGGGTGGAAAATTTCGCCCGAAATTTTCAAAAAAAAAAAAAGTCAAGTCGAATTGAGTAAGTACATATCGGTAATATCTTGCTGGAAACCTGTCATGTATTATATGCAATAAATAGTTTTCAGTGTGTCAATCAATTATGAGACTGAAGAATCTGAGCAATACTAGTGGAAAGGTGATGTATCATGTCATGTGCATTCAGGAAAGTGCTCAATCAGTGCAATGACATGATATAGAATAAAAGGCAGAGGGTTTTTTTTTTTTTTTTCCGGGCGAAATTTTCAACCTTGGTCGCGTGTCAGTCCCTTGTCGCGCCTCTGTCCCTAGTCGCGTGTCTGTCCCTTGTCGCGCCTCTTTCCCTAGTCGCGTGTCTGTCCCTTGTCGCTGTTAGAGGGCCCTACGACAGCAAGGGCCCTCGATGACCTTTGACTTGGCAGGTCAGCGCCTAACGACTGAGTCTACTCGGCACCGACGCATGCGTTCGGTGGCAGTCACTAGTGACTGTGGGTGACAGCGAGCTACCGCAGCAAACTCGGCGGAGTCAGTGCAGGATGGCGTGGGTCTTTGGGAGTTGGGCGTGCTTCTTTGAGAGTCACGCCACTCCTTGCAGTGTTGGCTGGAGTGGCGTGCACGGAAGTGGTTTGCGCTGCTGAGTTGGGTTGGGAATTGGCCGAGGCGCGTTCACCCACCCACACGACAGTTTCGTGGGGTTGGGTTACTGCGCAGCGCCACGGCAACTTTGTGCAACTCTCCCGTAGCCTATATTTGCATGTGTGTTTGTTTGTGTTTCATATATTCTATTTTCCTAGTGAAGTCCAATCTCTACTCAAATTCTCACTTAGTCATTTGAGACCAACGCTACCCAAACGCTACCGAATTACTGGCACAACATCAATTCCCATAGCCGAAACTCTCTCGCCGTCGTAACGCTCTCCATAGTATTCCTTCATGGTGCGGTGAGCGTGGAACGAACACGCATAGATTTCCGTCGTCGATTATAGTGACGTTCGTATACTCGCCTTGGCGTGCGGCGTTAGTGAAGGGCGCTTATTAATTTAAGTTGAACCTCTCTTAATTTCCCTCCAGTTACGTTCTCGGACCCAAGGATAGGGCGTTTGGTATTTTATCACCACTCGTCTGAGGACCCTTGTGAGGTGACCCCGAGACGAGGGATTTAAGGAAGGGACAATTTATTTTAATTTGTGGTACCTTATAGAGGCGTCGTAAAGGATGAGTACGGAGGAGGCGAACGTGGAGGCCGATAATTTCCGCGCATTAGAGGAGGACCTCGTGGCTCGTCGCTCTCGTGGTGAGCTTAGTAGTGAAGATTACGAGCTCATGTTGGAGGGAATACGCGCTCGTCAGCGTCGCGATCGTCCCTCGCCACGTGTAGAGCAAGCCGCGGGAGGAACTAGTGCGTGGGATATGGCTGTCGATGGCGGAGATAGTGATGGCGAGGAGCTTGATGGGTTGGTGTC